TATTGTACCTTCCATGCGTTTCCAAAAGCCTATATTATTCCCATTATTTAACATTTGCATTCTGATTGCAATCAGCCTTCTTTCAATAAAATAAATAACGTTACAGCTTGTTAACCTAGAACCATCAAACTCTCGCTTCCATTATCAATCAACGCCACTTTTCTGCTGACTGCAACTCAATTAAAATCCAATTATTTGAATAACTGGATGGAAATTGCTATCATAAGATGTACCTTTTTATTAGGAACATTTTGTGTAGAAAATTGACAGCACAGAAATTATGACACTGTGGTTAAAAGATGTTTTGTAACCTGGGCTGGGAAAAGATATGCTGATAAATGTGGAGGAACAGAGTGTCACTTCTGGAGTAGGTATTTTATTCTAGAATTGGGCCTTTTGGTTCAGAGCAGATCCAAAATTATTAGATTCTGTTAGCATTGCCATGAGCTTTAAAAAAGTTGGTCCTTCTATGCCTCAAAGCTTCTTATTTTTACTGATATTAAAAAAAAAAAGAAAAAAAGTAGTTATATATTCTTAGAGCATCTTATCACATTACCCACGGAGCTAATTACAAAATATGTCAGTCAGTGATACCGATTCTTTAGGTAATCTCAATGTCAAATTTTTTCATTTATTTTATTTCTTACATTAACTAACATCGGACAAGTAGCTGTTTATTAACAGCTCTTGCAGCTGTGTACCTTCTCCTTATCCTGCAGGAACTCAGTATTATTTGGAAAAAAATGTCATATGAGGAAACCCTCAAGTATAAGTTGCTTCTTAGTTTTTAATTACATCAATTTTCTACTAGAGCTGTATTTATTTGACCAAAATGTGGATAGCACATTCTTCTTCATCCAACACTAAAAAGTCAAATTCTTTGATATTGCTCTTAGATGGAAAATATCATCACACTATTTTAATTTCAGCATGCCAACTCTATACACAAAAAATAAAACATTTTAAAAAATGTCTAGTTGCAAAGTCTAATTTTACAAAACAGATTTAAAAGAATTAAAGATTTCTATTTTTTCAGCTGTAATTATCTAGGACTTACTTGGCACCTGGAAGTTACCATGGAAAACCTTTTTTAGGAACAAAAAAATCTCCTATCAAACATATTTCTTTAGCTGATCTCAAGTATCCTTATATCATAATATTTTAAAGCAAATGCAGGCTCTCCAATGTATTTCTTTTAAATGTAATAGTATTATTGTCTTCTACCTTGCATCATAAAATCACATCATCTGAATTATACCTACTACAGTTTTAATAAATTTCTACAGAGGTTGTTCACTGAAGATTACACAGAGGATTTAAAAGGAGCTATTAGATTATGATGACTTGCATTTGACAAAATAACTTGTACTGGCACACAGCAAGGAATGAAATGAGCCAAAAAATCAAGGATAAGAAAAGGAAACATTATAGATAAGCAAAGTAATTCCAAAATGTGATTGATTCTAAAAGAAGCAACTCTTGATAGAATGTCATGTTCATATTATTTTTCCATTGTGATTACTCTTCTTGACTTTTGCTCCATATATCAGATTTTATATCTTTCCTGTCATTTTCTATGTGATTTCAAGCAACACCCCTAAAATATTTTTAGCTGCTTTACAAACTAAAGTTGCATTAACTAGTGAACATCGTTTATCAAAAATGCATGACAGTTTGCAAAATGCTGGAATCTATCTCTTTCCTTGAAATGTGCAATACTTCGACATACACACAGTCTACCTCTCTACAAAGCCAGCACAGAAATAAATGTGGCCTTTTGAGTCTACACACTAGCAGTGCCTCTTAGGCAAGCTCTGAAAAATCTTCTTATAAAGAGAGTCTACAAAAAATGCCAGAATTCAAGTAATTCAGTTTTTTCATGCAGAGAGTCCTCAAAAGTGAGGTCATTTATAAGATGTATGTTGAAATCAAAGCTACTTACCCTTTTTCTCAAGTTGTAGGTCAAAATGAGATTTCTAGAGAAGGAGTGTGAAAAGGCTGTGTAGAACTCCAGCACTTTCTGCAAAGCATCTCTCTTAATCACATGAAGATCACAGTAAGTCAAAGCCCTTACATTAGCACAGGACTGGGCAAGGGTAGACTCCTTCCAGAACACATCACCAAAAACGTCTCCTTTGCCTAAACAAAAATAATAGCATTACTTTCAATAACAGTACTATTTCCACCAAAAATATAAAGGAATATACATCTTATTTATACAGACAAGTTCCTTCTATTTCATGTGGTCAAAAAATAATTCTGTCTGAAAAAAATAACTTTGAAATATTTCATTAATAACTTTTTCTGCTATCTTTTTGTTAGTTACTTTGCTAATAGCCTAGCAAAATTTCATAAGAATAAATAATAATCAAAAAGTTGTTCATGTGATGAGTGCCCTTTAAATATCAATAAATGATTTTCTTTAAAAATCAAGAAAAGTGATTCATTCTTGGTTCATGTTCTCTTCTTATCCCTTTCAAAGAGATTAATTAAGATGAAATGTTTTTTCCCTTTCTTCTTTTAACTTACATGCAAAGGATTTGATTCTTACATCTATGTTGTTAAGTTTTCTTAATCTGGCTAACAGTTACCCACTATTATGTCAATAAAACCATCTTGTATAAGACGTCAGGCTGCAATGAAATAGAGTCCAAAACAAGAAGAGTACAGGTTAGTTATCACCAACATAGCAATGGCCTGGCATGAATGTTTAGTTGTTACACACTGGAAGAAAACAGTCATTTCCTTACAACCTTTCCATGTGCATATCTTTATGAGCTTGTGGCAGCCAGTGAAATCCCTGTTGTAGAATACTGCAATGAGGACATTTGCACCAGCCTGGACCTTACAGCTCAGGGCAAGTTTACCAAAATCCAGCTGAGGAACAGCTCCCAGCAAGGATTTTGCTGGTTATAGCCCAGCTCAGGCTGGGCACAAAAGGGAGTGTGTAGGAGAAAGTTACAAGGCCATTTACAAGAGTAATGGTCTTTTTTTTTCTTCTATTTTCCAACATATACTGCTAACAGAATAAGAATATTATACTGTTCTTGTTTTGAAATGTGTTTTCCTCTTAAACTTCTGCTTTGTTATATAACCACTGCATATTTCTCTTAAGACAAACAACGAAGAAATACATTCACAACATATATCAAGTTGAGGTAGGAATGGACCAGATGGTACCTTGTCTTATAAGTAATACTTTGCCCATAGCAATTCTGAAAGCCAAAGCATCAAAATAAATATTAGTTTATTGACTTCAGCCAGGCCCTTTTAGGTTTCATTTCTTAGATAAATAGTCATGTATAAAAGGCTATATGAAAGTCAAGAGAACTATCATGAGTATAGAGCTCAAGAAAACTTGTAAATTAAACCCAGAATTCCCATCTTAGCCCTTGAGCTGTACTTCCATCCTTACCTAATCTTTCCATTAGATGATAAGCATTTTCTCTTTGAGGAGAGGCTATCAGCTTGATGATAAGCTACACTGTAGTGCAATAAGCTGTCATTCACACTGATGTGCTCCCAGTCTTCCACAGAAGCCCTATGCAGCCCACGTGCCATGGACCAGTTTAGTCCCTGATCACTTTGGAGGAGCATAGGGTCTATTTTAATTTTAAATGTGTGTATACACTGAAACTATCTGCTCCCTTAGCACGTTTTTTCCTCAAAAATTAAGCAAAGACACCATAATGATAACCCTTCTCCAGTCTCAAGTCTCCTTACATAGGACAATATCTGGAAACACTACAAAGGCTGCACATCAATAAGCATGGTGGCAGTCCAATAGCCCAGTACAGTAAGCAACTTTTCATTTTAATAGCAATGACTTTTCACAGCTTCAATTATTTAAATGTATGCTTTTTCAATGGATACATTAAAAATGGCCAAAGAAAAATGCTTCCATGCACTTAAAGCAGATCATCATCTGAAAGGCTTTTAGACAGACAAGTACACCATATATTCAAAACTGAAGTGAAACAATTTTTATGCACCATAAAAACTGATATGCTTCACTGGGTAAAAATGGATTGTTTGCCTTTGGAATAAATATGCTTTTACTCACAATATTCCAGGCAATTAGCTAAACAACTGTTTTAATTAACGCTCTGGAATCTATCAAGCATTGAAATGTGCCATCACTGAGGAGCAACAGTTAGAGCTGGTAATCCAAGCACAAGGGAGAGAAATTCTAGCTTTGTTCTAAGCATATTTCTTAATATCTCCAGACAAGTTTCCCTACCTTAAAACGAAAATAATCATTTTACTGTCCCACAGTATCATGAAGAATAATTGGTATAATGCAAGTACAAACAGCATGGTCCTGCTATGCCTACCTCAGAAGTTGTTGCCTTACTCTTTTTAAAATTTAATTCTGCTTTTCACATAACACAGAAAGATACAACTGTGTCATTCACCTGTGGCAGCAATGACAGTTTCCCTTTGTTATTTGTAACTCCTCCCCCTCCCAAAAAACTCTCCCTCCTGCAGTTTCCTGCCACCCTGGGGAGCCACTTCCCATTAGTGGCAGGAACAGCACAGGAAGGAGCTACGTCTGCTAGGTGCCTAACCAGCCAAACCAGAGAAAAGCAACACATGAACCACAAATTGAGTCAGATCACAGAAGCCTCTGTTTGAAAGAAACAAACCAAAAAAAACCCCAAAGAAGTTGTACTCGATTTCATTAAAATATTTCCTTGCAGTTAGCAGCCAGTGATTTAGTTGAAAATCAATCCTACATTATATTTTGGTTTCCAAAGCAAGGCACACATGCAAACACCACACTGCTTTGTTTCCATCAAGTGCATTTCCTAAATGATGCATATCAAAAGTATCAAACTTGATTGTCAGATTCTAAAAAAACCTCATCTTTGATATTCATAGAAAAACAGGGGGGAAAAGGAGCAGTAGGAAATCTTTATAGTAAGAAGGAATTAAAATTCCACCCAGGAGTACCTGCACTGGATTAGAACAATTGGCCTCATACATAATACAGAACTGCATACCATCTCCCTTTGTCTATATGTTCTCCACATAGTAAGATCAATCACTCAGGAAAAAGGAATTAAAAAAAATGGGGGGCAGATTAAGTGGGTGTTTTATCAAATCCATCTGTAATTAGAAAGCAAGAGGGGCAAGGTGATACTTCTAAGTGTGTCAGAAGGAGGTTGGCAAAGTCTAATGGCTGCATTAGGGAACCTGAGCCAAAAGCCTCTTTTTACATATAACTCCAGGCTTTATATATTTCACCTTACCTCTGAGGAAAGATTAAAAAGCTAGAGAAATGCAGATGGCATTTGTTTGTCAGTACTTTGCATTTTTCATTCCCAGCTTGCTGAATTCCAGACGTTTGCCAAGAACATTATCTGTCAATCACACTTAAAGTGGATGATCTAAGCTTTTACCATCAATCACTTATATTCCCTACTGAATTTGTGGGCTGAGGACCTTTTTCACCATCAGCTCAGCATGCACTTGAAATCCAAATAGTTTTCTGCCTTTTATGTTTGATTGTTTGTTTTAATTATAATAACAAGTCCTGAAACAAAATTCTTAAATAGTGAAGAATTATTTTATAAAACCTTCTATTTCCATATTTTTTCTTTCCCAATTTCTTTCTCACATCAAATTTGCTATTTATCTTATAAATGAAAAGATAATTTCTCTGTTACCACTGTAAATTCAGCCTGAGTCAGGCATAAGGTCAAGCCACATTCACTCTGTCTCCTGAAAGCAGCACAGTAATGATGATGTGATTACTGCTGCTTAGTCAGGTGTTTTGCTGATTTTGTTCGAGAAAAGAACTACATTCTTACATTATAGCTATATTGTCTTGATAGCATAAACTTTGGTTTTTTCACTCCTAAAAAGTGGAAGTATTGAAGAGCTCTCAGACAGAACATATTTCACTCCAAAAAAATCTGCTTCATGTGTAGAATATGTGCTTGACTGATAACCTACTTAGTCCACTTTTGGATTCTGGATGTCTGGAAGTCATGGTGCAGTTTTGGTGTGATAGCAGCTGGGTGAGAAGATGAGGCCATAGATTCATATGCTGAAGGTCTTCCAAGTCAGTATGGATTTTGAAGGGATTCATACAAATCCATGGGTTTTCAGTACAAAAGACAAAATATTCATGTTAGAATCATTCTTGAATCAATAGTAATTGTTGTTACAGCAGCCAACACCAGAATCTAGGATGGGTCCCTTCCCAATCTGCCTTCATCTGCATGTTTAAATGATAGAATTGGAATCTGACACAGTCTCAGCAGATACAAAGATAAGCTAAAATGACCAAACGCTGCTCGATGGTACCTCAGCGGCAATGCAGCACTAAGCATATCTTGAAAATGAGGTGTTAGCAAATAATGTTATCTGTAATACTGATCCACAGTGGCTGCCACAATGATTTTCCCGGCACAGCTCCCTGGAGCACCCATACTGTCCTGCGCTCTCAGGATTTGTTTGCCACCTCCAAGCAGTGGGAGACACCAACTGCTATAAAATCAAACACTGATTCTCTCTGCATAGGTCTCTTTCTAGTGATTGCTCAGTAAAAATGCTGCTTTTTATAGTGACTGCTCAGTTAAAATGCTGAAATTTAAAAACAAACAAAAAAATTAGCCTGATTTTTTCCTTTTTTCCTTCCTTCCTTCCTTCCTCCCTCCCCAGAGGATCTGAAGTTAGTCCATGTCACAGGCTCCTACCAATTCTATTCAAGCATAATTCCACTAAGGACAGTGTATTTACCCCTGGTGTTCAAAGCCAGTGATGTGAGACTTGGGTCGAATTCCCTCTGTGATCACCACATGTCTATTTGGCTTCAACTGAAAATCCTTCCCTCTCCTCTCTTCCCTCATCTCCTCCTAATCTAAGTAAGGCATGCAATTTAAATTTTCCCATTTACAAAGAGAAGAAAGATTCAAGGAAATTAGAGGCATTAGAGCAAAAAGAATTTTTTCTCTTCGTGCATTATTTTAAGGCTACGAATATCTGTCAGGCAATAAAAACAGAGCTACCATTTGGCACTGAGGTAGAGTATTCAGTATCTGTCCTACAGATAAATTGTACAACTTGACAGCCACTGAATAGCCTGTAGTTTGGTTCTCCAACACAGTACAGCTGGTAGGAGATGATGCATG